CCAGAAGCTGCGTTGGTTGGGACATGTTTTACGCATACCGAACCATCGTTTGCCGAAGAGAGTACTGTTTTCCATGCCCAATTCGGAGTGGCGTAAACAGAGAGGTGGCCAACCCATGACCTGGCAGAGGAGTATGAAGGAGATGACGAAACGCTTGGGTGCTGTCGGTGCTACTCGCCTTCCAGGATGGGGACCGCGTGATCCTCACTGTGCCTGGTTGGAGACACTACAAGATATGGCTGCCAACCGATGTCAGTGGCGTTCTTGTTGTCAGTTTCTGTCCAGATTGCCTGAGTGAGTGTCTGGAGGTGTAGGCACCTCGGAATGATTGTGTTAAGCTAGCACTAAGTCCCTCCCCCATCCACCTTTATTCTTTTCTTTACAATAAGGCTTTCAAATAAGTCATGGCTGTACGGCAGTGAAGCATTGGTGTTGAACACTGATGTCATGCTGTCGTTGTTGATGATGATGATGATGATGATGATGGGGATGATGATGATGATGATGATGTGACTCTGATTCCACTACAGGTGTTTCGTGAGCGAGCGGATGAATTCCGATTCTAGTGCTCCGACAAGTTCTGAAGCACACTCTCAACCTTTACAACTTGCACCATGTGGTTCTATGCCATAAGTGATGATGATGATGATGATGATGTGACTCTGATTCCACTACAGGTGTTTCGTTGGTGAGCGGATGAGTTCTGATTCTAGTGCTCCGACAAGTTCTGAAGCACACTCTCAACCTTTACAACTTGCACCATGTGGTTCATCCTATGCCATAAACGTGGCGGCCAAGAAAACTTTCAACCCAGATGACCTGGTTGAGCTTGCGAAACAAATTAAATCCTGTGAACAGTTCGTCACTGCGAATGCCTCATCGCGGTTATATTTGATCGCAAAACAAATGCAGTACCTAAAGGTACACGATTTCATCCTGAATCTTATCTAGACGCATACTTATCCAGGAACAAGCAACCGATATTCTATGTGAGCTGAGAAGAGACACGGAGCTTCACAGTCTTCCTTGCAATTTCGTCAAAAAGCCCGGAAATAATTACCACGTGTATGAAAAACCAGATGGATCGCGATACATGGGCCTACTTTCTCCTGAGGTATGAAAATTTATATGCCATATTACTTTCGCTTTGTTAGGAGTGGGGATCAAAATGCCCTCACAAATTCATCAAATCCTATAAACTTCTGCCAGATATGACCTGGGTTGCTACAGATGACCTCTCGGAACAAGAAACTACGCGGAAAATGGTTCAACAGTTCATGTGCCCATCGAATCTCAGTGCCCTGGATAATAAATCTAAAGAAGCCACAAATTTCTAACCTCCCCACAAAACCATGGAGTTTTCCAACTCACTTCACTTTTTACTGACAATATGATGACAGCTTTGTCAACATATGATTTCGAAAATAATTGTTAATTGGCCTCAGTGTGGTGAGACAATCGCCCATGTAGGTGGCGGGGGGTTGGTAAATTTATCAAGAAATCGGGTTTCTCGAGTTAGAATGAAAGGCAGTCGTACCATTGGGTGTCCTGCCTCGTCTCCAGTAGGTGTTTTTATATTTAATCGAACCACCACGTCGTAGGCAACAGCAGCGCTCCGGCATGACTGTTTATTCGTGAGCTCGTTCACTTCGGTCATTGTTACTATTGTCCTAGGTTCTTCAGGAGGTAGCTCTTCTCTTTCGGGTGCTTTTTCTGGTGAAGACTTTTGACCACCCTTGTCGGGACTTTTGTCGCGCTTCGGTGACTTTTTGGACTTCGGTGGAGACTTGTCTTTTGGTGGAGATTTTGCTTTTGGTGAGTTCTTTCTGTCTTTTGGGGAACCTTTAGGACTCGGTTGTTTTTTCTCTGGCTCTTCCGTCGTAATGACAGGCACCTGCTTACCCATCATAATCACCGTACTACTGGCGAGGAAGATCTTATTGTCCACTGGCATTCTACCGTCAATAGCAAGGTTGTATTTAGTTGCATCGTAACCCGGTTTAACTAGCACTTCTTTGTTCCAATTTCTGTTTCTTGGATTTATGGGCAGACCCGCCTCGCCGGCCTTCAGTAACACTTCACCCAGAGGTATGCTACTATCATGCGGAAACTGATGAAACAGTCGATAGGTTTGTTCCACATATACCGCGACCGAATGAACCACATGTCTTGCTGAGTTGTTTTCAATTTGGATTTTCACCTTGATCTCCTGGCCGTGGTAGTAGATATCTCGTTCTAGCTGTGCTTGTAGAATTAGGTCACCTGTATCCTCCGCAGTTGCGAATCGTTTGTATTCGACGGGTGGTGCCGGACGCAGACTGGAAGGGCTTAGTGCGGGGCAAATGGTATACTTGAAAAATTCCATACTGGTTTCTTCTCCCGGCAAGGAACTGCAGTTTTCCTCCCGTGCAATGTATGTTCGAAGCTTCCAAAATAATCCACTGCTGTAGTCTGGATAATAGGGGCGAGTAAAGAAGAGCGAATCCGGTCTTCGAGTGACGTCGAAATGGAAGGGGAAAAAACGGTAACCTCTGCCCAATGAGTTTCGTAATTTAAATATCAGCTGTTGGTTGAACTCCGATATCTTCATTTCGATGTCAAAGTTGATTGGATACAGTAATGTTACTTCCCTGCAACATTGACAGTCTGAACTTACGTTATCAGGGAATGGTGGTACCTTTGAATGCCCAACATATCTGAATCTGGCTGTGACTTCTACGTACAATTTCTTTTCGTTAGTGATCCGAGTTTTATGCACGGCCACGACACCGGTGATGATGGCCGGCTCGTACTCCGGTTTTGGTGCTTCCTCACTCACCACCTTTTGATTTGTCGCACCACCCTTTTTGGGGGACTTTTTTGGTGAGGACTTGGAAGATTTCGGACTCTTTCGGTTGTCATTTGTGTTGGAATTGCAGAACTGTTCGTAAGGTGGCAGCCGGTTCCATATCTCGTAAAGATGTATGCTTCGAACGTACAATGAAATAAGCGGGCTCTTCTGCACGAATACCGCATCCATTGTGTCATACCTCTTACGGGCGAAGAACTTCCTCTCCAACTCAGCATACTCTTCGGCCGTTAGCTTACCCCCTCGCCCAGGACTGGATCTACCTCCTTTTTTCGGCGATTTTTTTGGTGATTTTTTCGGTGAACCTTTTGGACTGGGCATTGTGTTACTTTCAGTGGCCACCACTAATTCCCCACTAATGCCAAACCCTATGATTTTAAATTGCTCTGAGTATTGATCCTCAGCAGTTGGCACGTGATTAGCATATCCTCCATTTCAGAAAAACAACAAATAAGGATAAATAGTGATTGGTTAAGTCGTTTCAGTCGACTGTCATCCTTTTGACCGCTTTACTTAACATTAAGTTATTTTTCCACTGAGCTGTCCTATACAGTATTCAAGTGTCACAAGGAAAAGTCCGTGGTTAGCAAAGAATGGAATAGTTTCATTCAGGACAGGCGGGTTTGAGTACCTACATCAGCGAATCCAAGTAAACGTGAAATCTGACTGTTCTAACGGACATGCACCTCCAGTCATTTGTTGTCCTTCATTTTCCTAACGTCGGCAGTGGTCGGTTTGTTGTGCAAGACCATTGTTGTCGCTTTACAAACCCGTTTGGATTAAACGTTGTCTCTTTTTTCTCTTGGCATACTGGGCGCACTGGTACATGTATTCATATGTATGCTGGTGCAAGACCATTGTTGTCGCTTTACAAACCCGCTTGGATTAAACGTTGTCTCTTTTTTGTCTTGGCATACTGGGCGTACTGGTACATGTATTCATATGTATAAGTTGATTCCGTGCTGGTCGTTGTACGATGAGCCTGATATGCACAACAGCTTCAATAAAAATCCCATAAACATCGCCAGCCGCTTCGTTCCCTCCTCGTAGACTTCACTTCTGTCCACCGAGAAGTATTATGAACAGTTTTTTCCAGGTACCACTCTCTACCACAATTCATCAACGTCACCCTAGGCCTCTTTGACGGAACAGTGCGAAGCCGCAAACGAATGAGCCGATTTCTGGTGACTAAGGAATTCTCAGCGGCGTAGAACATTGGTGTGTCACTGCCCCACTCTCTCTAACCTCTACCTGACAGAACCCTCGATGCAACTTTCGTGAACGACTAGGTTGCCGTACAGTTCGACTACCTACTTGATAGCGTGACGGAACACTATGTCCATTAAAGCACGATTTGGCATGCGCTTCACACCTGAAAAGTGTAAAGTTCTGCTACAAGACTGTATGGGATCAAACCCACACCTCATGCTTGCAAATGAGCCAATCGGTGTGACAAATCTGTTACCTGGGCAGCTTTATAAGTTCCGTTGGACTGGTTGGAGATGGGATTATTTCTCGAATCGGAAAGGTTAGGACAGCTTCTGCCAACCTCCGACACCTATGGTACCAACGTGACGTGAATTTCTGTCAAGGGAACAGTTTGCACTGCGGTGGCCCGATCCATACTGCTTTATAGACCAAAGACGTGGCCCTAGACGCAGAGGATATACGGAAAATATCGGCGTCTGCAAGCATTGGTCAGGTCTGGTGTGGACATAAGATAAACAATGCTGAGGTACGCCGGAGGTCTTAGGAAGAAGGGACTCTCCCGCGATAGATGAATTACTCAAGCTTCATAGGTTGCGCTGGTTGGGACGTGCACTCCGCATGCCAGAAAACCGTCTGCCTCACAGAGTTCTTTTTCCCCACCCCTGTGCTGATTAGAAACGACCGAGAGGTCGGCAATGTATGACCTGGCAACGAAGGCCGAAAACACTAACCAGTAAACTCAGTCGGGTGGGCAACTGCCGCCTCCTTGGATGGGAACTTGGGACTCAAATCACCAGTGGTTAATGGCATTGGCGATAATGGCCCAACAGCGCAGTCAGTAGCGCTCGTGCATCAAAGCTATCGCCTTCAGTGCGTAGCAACCCAATTTCCGAACAAACGGAACATGCCTTTGCCTCCAAGGCTTGGTTGTATATCCCACTTACCCGTCTTCCGGTGCTCGAAACTGTAGCAGCTGGAATCAATGTACCTATGGCACACCGCTTATACTCTCTTCCGCCGCAAAACGCGTCAAACAGCATCGTGCAGCCCACGTCATTAATATGATTCTAAAACAACTTAACCGACCAACAAAGCCAAGGCAGTCTCAGGGTGGTCTCTGGGTTTTTCTGAGCTGTAAACGATCAATCAATATGTCCTCAATGAGCCTCAGCCTCTGCCCGCGTGTTTCTTGCAAAGACTTGGAGTGATGAGCTGTGTCCAACCATTTGATCTGTGTCGATTAGACGACGGACGATTTGACTCTGGATTCGGCCAGCTTTGGGTTAGAGTCGGCAACCGCAACTGCAGATGAGCTGATGTATTTAGTGGGTTGTAGATGAAACGGTAGTCGGTTTGTCGGCAGTGTATATGCCTTCGAACACAACTTTGTTGCACTGTGTATCCGGTGCAAAGATGTTTAATGTTCGCGCAGAGCATCAGAGTAAATGTCCCCTTTCGGTACTCTGAGTAACACTTCTGGTTTATCACTCGGGGCTAGGTGTTTTTTGATGAAACCATCAGGATAGTTATTTGACCGAGGTACATCTTTCAGCAGTGCAATTTCCTCCGTGATTGTACCCTAGGTGCAACTCTCTCTATCTCTATGGAATATAGGCACCATCAATGCACGTTTATATCGTAACGGGTAGAGACAGAGGGAAACAACACCGTCGCTACTTCTAGTGATCAAAACGTCCAGGAAATGAAGTTCGTTGTCCTACTCAAATTCACAGATGAATAAAATGTTCTGATGGTGATGGTTAAAGAACGGAAAGCAGGGGTTCAGCATTTGTCTCACTGGTTATGATCAGTAACATATCATATAAATATACTTTATGCAATAGTGCTTTTATGGTGGCTTCTGACGACTGCTCAGTTTTGGCCATAGAAACGTCAGCTGGGATTGGTCCCAAAAGGTTTCCCATGGTGACACCATCAACTTGCCTATAAATGATGTTCTGGAGGTAAGACTTGGTACAGGTAAACTAATGTTTTTCGAGAGGAGAATGGAAAGCTTGGCGAGATATGGGTGAGCTTCAGATGGTAGCTAAAATGTTCATTAGACTGGAAAAAAGCCATAACACAAATAAGCCAACAGCATAAAAAAGCATCGGGCTTTTCTGGAGGTTGCGGAAAGTGAACACCGTTTCTTCGTATCAGTATGTTTCTACTCGCAGTGTGACCAGGAATTTATAAAAATTGAATCGAATTCAAATTGGGCTCCATATGTATTCCGCCACAACGTTGTCAGATGCGAAGTCAGCATGAGTCTTTATGCTTTCGAAGGGTGTCTGTGTGGGTTATTTTGTGTGTCTTATCGCCTTCTAACTGAATGTTTTGATATGCACGTGGCTCAAACGCGAACTTCAGAGGTGAGCTTTCTCTAAGACAAAGACCAGTACGGCCTCAGTCAGCTATATCGATAAGAAGGAGTCAGTTCTGTGTATCCTCCCTCCCATCGGTATTAACGCTTACGTTTTTCTGCAGTGGCAGATAAATTAGATGGAGAGTTTCAGTTGAGTCCCGCGTTAACATCAAAATAATTCGCGAACAATTTTGTTTCGACATTTCAGAGTCGTTTTCGAAAACAGTCATGTAGCTGAACCCAAATGAACCAAATGAAAGGAAGGTGTTCGCTGCGGAGTTTCGATTGAATGACGAAGAGCCTTATAGTCCTCTTCTTCAATCAGCAGATTGTTTAAAGCCTCATTCACCGCTTTTTTATTTGCATTATTCTGTTGCACAAAGCGTAGATATGGCTTGACCAGAGCGATGTGACCGACCTTAAGGAAGAACCCGACAGCACGCGTATGATCCAGTCGAGGAGCCAAAACGGTTAATAGATTGTTCAAGAGCACTCACAGATGCAACAGGGAAAGGAAAATCGGTGGGATGTAATGAAAACCATGTGAGATTTCAGAAGTCGATCTAAATTTAGTTTGTATCATTAATCAATGCTCATCAGTCTCGAATGTCCATAACTTTTGGGATCACGAACACAGCTTGTAAATTATGAAAGTGGCTCAGTGGTTAGAGCGCGAATTTTTCTGACCGGAGTGTCTGTGGTTCGTACCCGACGTCTGCATCTGAACTTCCTCTATCTAGGCTCGGGCGACCTGGCAGTATCCCAGCCCTCGTTGTTACTTCTGGCGGCGTGGCAGCTAGGTGCCGAAAGTGTTACGGGCGATTTTTTAATTTTTCAGTCGCCCAAGTGTCTCGGAACCGGGTATCTCATGATCAATGTGCGAGGTTTAACCAAATGTGGATTTACTGAATGATCGATATCGGTGTAGAGAAAACATGTGAAACGTCGCTGTTTAAGTGTCGATACCATAGAGAGATAATTTATCATAATGGTCCCGCACTTTTGCAGGACCTTAACGTCCTTATTAAAAAAACTGAAGAGTCATATCTTTCCGTGGAATTGGAGTCGGTGTCGTCTGAAATGGAGTGGCATCAAGCACTGAGTGAATGGCTGCTTCGAGTAACTTTGGACAGCTTGGTAGATTGTGGGAGGCGTGTACACCCATAGTAACGGTGAAAGCAGAAGGTTCATCGCCACGTCTGACCCCTGCATGAGCTCGTGTGGTTATACGAATTAATTCGACTTCAGTTTAGGTAAAATTCAAGGTAAGCTCTTGTTATTTCTCAGATAGCATAAACTAAAACCAAAGGTGAGAGTTTTAAATTTGTCTTCTGTGGGCTCACATGCTTCACCCAGAATGTCAGCATTTCACCAACCTGTCGAAAACACCTGAAACGAATACTGAAAAATGGGACTCCGGGAGCTTAAAATTCTGGCTAAATGCTCCGAAGTTTGCTGAAATGGTATCTGACAACTTCCCGAGTGCTTTTTTCGTACTCTTGTGGACCCACTTTTTCCGAAATAGAGACGTCCAAGTCGCGTTGCTGGGGATGATTCATCCAGTCTTCAGACGCAGTAGAAACTGGTACAATTGAACCTGCCGATTGTGACAACACTTTTGTTGATAATGTTTCGAGCAAACATCGTTGTGATACCACAGACGGTCCCGTTGTTTAGGTGGCGTTTCCTGAAGAAAGCTCAACTAGACAATCATGGTGTTCATCACTGACATCGTGTCTGTTGGTCTGTTCTGACTTATGCTGTTGGTTAAAATCACTGAGATGGACAACTTCGTTGGAAGTTTGAGGCAGGTCATCCGGAAGCGCGATTTCTTTGCTTTCGGAAGCTTGGCCAAAGTTGTCTTTATGAGCGGCGAACCTGCAGTCTTGATTTTCTTAGGTGTCCCCTGAGGGACACGATAAGTTTTCGTCCTGCTTACCAACTACAGTGTTACACATGTCGCGTCAACTATATTCCTCTTCGTCCCAGAAACAAGACAGTCATGGATTGGTACTAACAGGAAAATGCAACACACAAGACTACAATGCACAAATGTTTGCATATCACCACCAATGATCTCGATATTTGACTGGTACCGGTCTGTTAAGAATCCGCTTTCACCACGCTTTTTCTATTGGTTTCAGACAAGTTTTACCGGCGAAAGAGAATAGTAGGTTTCGAAAACAAAAGCGATAATTGGAAAATCAAAGTCGTTAGTGTATTTTAACAGTGAATGGTCGTTAGTGTGACCCTGGAAAAACAAATGCGATGAACGTTTGAGTAGCAAGATAGTAAGCAGACCCTTATTTGGGGCTTCTATACTTAGCACAATGAAAAAAGCAAACCAACCCAGCGATGCAGAAAAACAGTCGGTAGTAGGAAGTGGTCTGGCATGAATTGCTGTCCAAACAAAGGTAAACTGTCTACATTCCTAGTCGCATAGGCCTTGCTGTGCCGGAGAAATTTATCATCAGGGCGACTTTGTGCACTGCGACTTCATAGCGTAGCTCCTATTATTTCGGAATTTATGTGATATCCAATTACTTATTTGCAGCCGGACACTTCAGGAGTAAAACGAAACGAACTGATAAGCGGCTCTAATAATCATCTGCGATACCTTATGATATTACACAAGCCCTCGGATCTATTCAGAAGTTAGTAGCCTGCACACTGATCGTCTAACGGAAAAGACAGCAGATCTGTACGTGGTTTGTGCACTGTGCATAGGCTACTCTCAACAGATTAGCTGGGGTTTCGAGGTGTACCCCGAAATGTTCTGGCAAATGACTAGTTTATTATTTACTGTCCTAAAAGGGACACTTAGTTCCCGCGTCGCTCCCGTTTGTTTCTAGTATCAGCAAGATCACTCGTGTTGTCATCCCGGCTTTGCAAGCTCAGCAATGCGGGCGTTGACCTCGCATCCAATCAGCTACTTATTACTGAAGTGCGGATTTAGCTCACCGTTACCATCTATTCCTTTGTAAGCAACAGTAGCCACCGCTGCAACAAATTTTGCAAAGGGTTTGAAACTTGAGATCCATGCGTACCATGTGTTTGGATGAAATTTCCACTTGAAAACCCGGATAAAATTTGTGGTCGGTACTTACGCTGGATCAACCAAATACAGGTATAAATGACCTTCATCCACTAACGGCCTAGTACCACCTAAAGATCGACGACCGAATGGTCAATCGGTATTTCGTCCAGTGTCCAATGTCATACACCTGTTTGGAATCGCTACCAGTGTGTATCTCCCGAATATTCTGGGAGGGTCGAACCCGCGACTTACTGACCCATGGTCAAGCAAAAAATCGTTTGATAATGGGCGGCAGTTCCTCAGTTTGATCAACTAACAATCAAATAGGATGTGGCGCTAATCATCCTTCATTAAAGAATTCGCATCATGTGGTTACGTGTTGACCTCCTTCTCAGGCGACCACGCAACGGGTACAAAATTCACCTACCGTGTGCATCCCCCCTGAACGATATATAGTTTGAATATTCAACTGAATCCTAGCGTTATCGCATCGTCTTTGAACATACAAGATAGTGAGACTTTTGGCTGTTCTGCAGGCGAAACTGCAAAGAGCGTTTGTGAAGCAGGTATCTGGTAGGCCGTTGATCTACGCTGAATATCCAACTTGACGTCCTAGAAATTGGCGATAGTGCAAGTGGTCCTTAAGTTTCAGCAACCTCACACTACCAAGTCAGTTTCCTTGAAAGTTAACTTAGCCAATTTCACAATTCTTAGGCGGTTTAAAAACATGGTTCTGGAAATTCGCACGCATTGGTTGCCACACTTCATCGTAATCAGCGTGTTTGAATTTTTACATAACGGAGAATTCGTCCTTGGTCTGTTGACTAGCGTGAACATGAATGAAGTGAGCGTTGCAGCTTTACTGGATGGAGAGAGATATTCTACCTAGTAGGCAGGCTATTATTGGATGTAGTTCCATCTCAAAATGAGAGTTCCTGTGGATTTTACTCCAACTCACTAGACTGTATAAAAATGAAAGGGAAATCCCTAGCGGCTTGGAAAACTGAGATCGTCTTTTAAAAGAATTCCCGCTGTAATTCCCGACTGTAACGTACTTCATCCTAATCAAGGTGAAGTGAAACGGACGGGGATACTGTAGAGTCAAATCCAACAGCAGTGTCAATTTTAGTAACGGTGCATGAAGAGAGATGTCACGTCTGGAAACCTGAAGACAAAGGCAATTTATAAAGATTGCTAAATTGTGAAGGTCAGAGTATTTGTAGAATGGAAATCTGCCAAACCTATTGAGCCAGTGGACCTCTCTCACAGCTATGATTTAGGGTGTGAATTTGCTGACCTAAGGTCGCATTATTTATCCAGTGCCTTTGCTGTCGCATACCTAAAGTTTACTTGAATGCTCTATTGTAAAGGGGACAAATAAATGTGAACAGTGAAGGGACTTAAAGCTAACCTACCACAATCATCCTGAGGTGTCCACACCCGCAGACACCTATTCAGTCAATCTGGATAAACAATGGCAACAAGAGCACTGTTGAAATACATAAGCAACCATATCTCACAGCGTCCCGACCAGGAACAGTGGAGATAAATCGGATCAGCTTGAAAGGCGGACTGCATAGACAGCACCCAGACTTTTCGGAAGCTTCGTGACCATCTCCTAGGTCAAATTCTGATCACCCTACTCACACCACTCTGGGTTCGATGTCAAAAAAATGATGACTCGGCACGCACCGTACACGGCCTAACCACCCCATCTCTTGGTGACGGACTGGTCGGAATATTTCTCCGACAATCAACCTAAACTTCTGATTTGTCTCTCTGTCGTCTGATATATTTAGTGACTGAGTGCACATAGTAGCGCCATGCCACAGCAAAAACTCCCAGCACCGCGCAAAGATGCAGTGATCTCGTCCCCTCACTAAATGGTATCTGATGGGAGTGTAGTTGGAAGAAATCGTTCAGCTGAAGCACCTTTCTGGTACATAAATGCCATGCCACCTTCAGGAAGCATGAGGGCTTGAACACTACCAAGTTGAGGGGCAGAGGTCGGGTCCCAACTACAGACCTTCCGGTCAGTGGATTCGCGCTCTGACCACTGAGCCATCTCACCCCCTGGTGTGTTGAAAGGATACAGACCTTCCGGTCAGTGGATTCGCGCTCTGACCACTGAGCCATCTCACCCCCTGGTGTAGTTGAAAGGAAGTTCAGAGGACGATTAAGATATATTCCTCCAAATTCGGGATCTGCCAACCGCACACGCTAGTCTGTTCGTTCCACCCCTTACGCGGCCCTGGGAAGCGAAGAAAAAATCGACTCTGGACGAATCACCATCAGATTCCACGTACGTGTTCCAAAATGAGTGATAGTCAATTACTGGTCCACGCCACCAGTAACTGACGGTACTGCGTAAAAGCAGTCTGCGGTCAGCACATGGCTGAAGCAGTCGTTCGTTGCTGTCCATACGTGTCAAGTCGTATCCAAATGAGCATAAATGCGATAAGTCTGTTCAATTGTGTATTCGCATTTCTGGTAACCACAACGATATCTAACATTCAAGCTTACCATGACATGGCATTCAAGTCTTCATAAAAGTTTTCTTTTGATGGTGTCAGAGCTACCATTGACTGGGGTGTAGGCAGACACGACAAACAGAGAGCGACCAACATCGCGCTCGTGAGACTCCCTCATAGATGTTGCCAAATGAGCGTCACAGTGATGGCTATCAACGGGTATACTCCAGTCGAGCAAATATCCTTACCCTCAGTGAAGTATAATGACACGGACCCTTAATTATCCTGCTGCCGCCGCGTATGGATCGCCAAAGGTGCACAACGGGAAACTAGTGGAGAGTTATGAGGTAGTTAGCTCAATGCTGTTCGTATTGTGAATTTTTGTTTCTGATAGGCAACACACGTCAACGTCAAGCGAGTCCAGTATGAGAGCGATGAAAGCACGTTATCTTGCTTGCTTCAGAGTATGAACACTGAGAGCTGGTTGATTTACGGTGAGTTGGGGATAGAATTCCTATGTAGAGATACCTGGGGCTGTCGGCGCCAGATGACGTGCAAATGTTGCACCCGTAAGTGTAGGAAGTCGAATGGGGTCGCCAGTCTTAACGGATGGTCTCAGAAGAAGAAGAGAGTCATAGATAAGGTTTTAGGAGGAGGGCAAAAATTATGTGAAACAGGAAGCAGGAAGGCGTCTGTAGTAGTTTGCTTTCGCCTACCCTCCATGCTCTTTGCGGCAAGTATGGCTTCTAGGCGGGTGACAACACGCAACGGCTTACATGACCTGACAGTATTACTAGTCTTTGGGATCGGCTGGGATACTATCAGGTTCATACCAAGACAAGAGGGGGACCATGATCCTTGACGAAACCTTTGGCTTAGAAACGTGGCAGCAAGGCAGAAGTATTTGGGGGTATTGTCTAAGCATTCACTTTTTTAGAGAAAAGGTTGCTGCAAACGTTCCAACACCCAACCTGTAGGACCAGGTGACTGTGTTGTTAAGATCTCTAGGGATTTACCAGTTCGGTGCGACAGACTTTACTGCTATCTCATGGACACCCCCTAGCCTAGATTAATAGTGACAGAAATCGTCACAAGGCGATGAAGTCGAGTCTCTCTATCTCTGATGGTACTTCACCAACGAATTAAAGCCGTCGTTAGGCAACAGATGGATTTACTTTCTATCTTGTCCCGCAGATTCTTATATTTTGCCTATCCTTTTTGGGTGGTCAAGGGATATATATACTTCACGGTGCGGAGGAGCCTCTCGGTAATTGTGTATGGGAGATGGATTAGTTGGAAGCGAGGCGGCGCATGCTGACGGAGATATAGTCATGGGCTAAAATATGTGAAGAATAATAAACGTTTTTTGGGGTGGTCAAATGCCTCCACTATTTTCTGCTAAAGCATACATCAATGTGTAAAAGACGTCTGGTGAATCTGAAGTGCGGACGAACAGTCACAGGTTGATAACTTGCACGAAGCAACTACTTATGCTGAATGATGTCACTTTGCATCCCTCAGAGGCTGAGGACATCTTGGGTGGCTGGTAGGCTCTCAAACTTTTGAGAACTTCACTTATGAATTCGGCCTGCTAGTTGAAAGGTGTGGATAAAGGCAGAAGTAGGAATAATTCGTGCTTTTGGTGACCAGCAAGAACGCACTGAAACAACCGTTAGGTGTCCTCCGTCCAGATACCAACTGACTGGTTCAAATACCTCACCTGTTTTGCTTAAAGATACTGCGACAAAGTTTAGGAAAACGAACAAACTCAAGGAGCCAGTCAACAGACGACCAGATGATATGAATTCCGTAAGTGAAGCATGATGACATGATGGCACTCTAAATGCCAGTTGATAGGAGTACTGATCAGCAGCCGGTGGCCAACGGCGGTCACCGGTAGGTGGCGAGTGAGAATGTCCTCGGATATCCGTGAGGTGCACACTGCTGATTATTCCCAACAAAGATGAAGCGCCTGAAAAATTGCTTCGCGTTTTCAGCACAAATTTTCTTCCCCTACAGGACAAAAATTCGGTACACAGTTTATAGGTCCGCTGAGGCTGAGCCGTTGAAAATTTTGTTTTCGTCCCTCTTTGTGTATTGGACCAACAGCCATTTGTATCGTTAGCTGGTCTTGGAAATTTCCAAAATGTTAAATTCCACGCCGGATTTCTGTAAAAATGCAGAGAGTGCATACGTCTATAAGATTAAAAAGCGACGTACGTACCCAGCTCGTTCGTAGATCACTTAGTAACCACGTGATTTCCGTGTTGACCACTCGGCTGCAAAGTGGCACAAAGGAGGTATATGCCTTTACTACTCTTACCAAGTGCTTTTATTTACACACCAGTTTGGTTTTAACGGAAGAATCCATTGACTTTAGCCAACTGACTCGTTTATTGCCTCCAAATGAATGTGCTGCACAAGACCTCCTTATGGTTTATATGGTATATTTGAGACGCCGCAATGCACTGTTTAGGCATAACACACTACTCACAGGTCCACTGAATAATCTCCAACAGCTTGCGTGAAATTAGCAATAATTTATTGTTCAGATACAGGGATAGCAAGTTTTGTGAATGAACCTGCTCTGCTGTGACATTCGTTTGCAACGCAATTTCGATACTGTGATTTTGCTATCCTTGTCAGCACGCAAGTTAGTGTCGCGAAAAAATAAGTCAAGCGAATGTGGATTCACCCACTTTTACAACAGACTAGCGTCACTGTAGAATACACTTCTAAGGAGTGGGAATTTTTCAGTAGAATCTTTGTTTTGTAAGCGAATTCAGTCTACGAGGGATAGCTGAAATACTCCTTACAGTTGCTTCATCCATAGAGGGAATTATTGACAGTGAGTACCTCATGAACAATCAGGGTGATTTGAACTCATGCTCTCCAACCCAGTAGTCAATGTCAAAACTGTTGAGCCACGAGCAACTTATCATCAGTATGATCACCTCGCAGTCAAACAGGATGTCATCATTCATTCTTCACTTACGGAATCCACATTGTCGTTGGGTGTTGATATGAGAAAGCTGGTACATACGTACTACTGTATTTTCTGCTACGTACCCACTGGATTGCGCATTAAAAAACACAAAAACTGTGAAAATTATAGCCATAGTATACAGGGGCAACCGTACGCATTGTTGATCAACAAGTAATGCCTAACTATTGATAACTAGACATGAAAGTGTTTTTAGTTCAATAAATGCTTCTCCTTATTCATCATGACCATAAATTTAGAACCAGGTGCCCCATATGTGTCTGGAAGTTTACAACTATTCTTCTAAATTAAGTCATTTATTCCACTTGTTCACCTTTGGGTTTTCACGTTTTCGATAAGCTGAACTTATACATGAGAATGATTTTCCTATTACTAATACCATTAAAGACATAACAATTTTAAAAAAGATCAGTGGCAACAAGGGATCCTTCCACTAGATCACCGGTCTATAGTAGTCAACTACGAAACCCCTAACCTCGAACTTATGCCGATTTCTAAGGTAGCATTTGCAATTGCTATCCATTGACAAGCACTCATTTCCTGCCGTTGCCTTGCTACCTTGCGGTTCACGCAGGAAGGTATTTGGGACTGCTCTACGACAGAAAGCAACGCTGAACAAACCTTCGAAACCCCAGTACTGATTTCGCCCTACTTGAGGCTCATTAGGTAAACGTGGTTTTCGATGTCTTTTTTTGTTTTATTTGAACACCCAATCTGACACAACTGGGCGGATACATTCATTTGCAAATTAAGTGTCTGTTGGTGGATGACTCAGCGGAACAGCACCTGAATTTCTTGTCTATTTCTTGTATGAACTTTCGCTATAATTTGTATACTAAAGGTGCCTTATGTTTCATTTGGAACGATATCCAAGACACCTTGCTATGACATTACAGCTTCGTTTGATGGAAAGTGAAACATCCGGCAGAATCGATGCAGAACTTTCAGCTACGTAATGTCATAAAGAAGATTCGACCGTGAGTCAGTTGATATGGTCGTTAACAACAAAACATTTGGCAGATTAGAGCATGAATCCACCTCAGAATGCTTTCCAGCTCGTTTAGTTTAGGCACATAGATAGAAGTTCGTTCCATTTTAGACCTATAGGTCTTCGGACAAGCAGTGAAAATGTTTGCGAAGATGACTGTAGCGATTTTGTGTGTGCATGTTAGTCCGGCGACCATGTGAAGTAAGTGTCAGCCACACAGTTATTCTGCACTGAATTGTTTTTTTTCGGGCATAAGCCCGCAGCTATGTCTTCAGGTGCATTAGACTTCTGTTTGTCCACACTACACATTCGTAAGTCAACCGAAAATGGTCAGCTCGAAAGATCCTTGACGTTACGGTGATGATAAATAACACTATTCTCACAAAAAAAGACTCCCTGGCCCAAAACAGGTGTTATGCTCGTGCATTCCATGTCAACAATTCTAAGTGAAACATTTTCAAGGAGGATTTCTCAGCAACTGGGAACCACTACTTTGTATCAATATGTGTGGTGTTATTGACATTGCCGCTTATGGCGACGAATTCATCTTTACACGCGCCATAACACCACGATACACAGGAAAATTAGCATACTATCATGCTTGTTGCTCCATGCAATCTATCCTGTGAACGGAATCTTTGTATTTTCAAGTGTCAGCCGAACTGAAGACTCTGCGGGACATCAACATACGCTGTTTACAGAGAAAAAACAGTATGTTAAAATCCAAGCAGTTGATATCAAGTTCGGATGGATCGTTTAAAACTATATCTAAAAGATGTGTTAGGGCTTTGTCTACAAAATGGGTGACGAAATTCCTATCGGACCTTGCACAAACTCCAAGAGTCTTGTGCTCACGTCGTTCGGCTGCGGGAATTTTACATTTCTATTAAAATACCAAATGATGGCCAACCACCATCCGATTATTCCAATTATTCAGCTGGCTATGTGCTCGTGCGACTGATGATGCCTGGTTGTGTAACACCGAACCTGATTGCAAACGAACTTATGAAAGTTTAGTCAAAGTCGCCACTAGATTTACGCAGTTCGATCACCCATGGTTATCACAACTTCCAACCTGGATTCGAACTTGACCCACGCTTGTTTTGTGCTTCAGACAACCCGTGTCATATTACTTGGTTTCATCCCTTTTGGAGTATATGTTGGCCTGTTATCAATCGTTCTGTTTGCATTGGTCAATATATTTTTTTTCCAAAAATGTCACTTTTGAGCCTACGTGAGAGGCCCTCTTAAAGATTGAGATCTCACTGTTGAAAGTTAGTTTTTGTGAATGCGAGGCAACTTAGCACATGGTCGACCCTAAGTCAGCTGGTCCATACGGTGCCTGAAAGCACAGTCCAGTGAAGCCCAAGATCAGCTCACGTGATGCAGCAGTCTTCAAATTTAGCCGACCAGTTGATCGATGTTTTGATAGGCTTAGTTCATTCCACACGGTACAAGATAATGGATCACGTTAAAATCTTGATAGATGAAGCTCTAAAAGATTCCGGCTGGCAGTCAAATTTTGCGTTCCCTGTTGCATCGGATGAGAATAAATATCTGATAAATTTGGTGAGTTAACGTAATTATGAAATATCTGGTTAAAAGTGTTCAGTGAGTGATCTAGGTAGAGGGCTTTTCCCATACATTTTTGTGGTATTATGGTTGCGAAAACCTCACTGCCTGCCTCGAACAATTTGTTCGGGAAATTCATGTGAATATGAAACTGTGTTCCAATCCTAGTTTGTCATCACCTCAAAAATTTTTCCATCTGAAATTGAACTGAGACCAGTAATCACTTTCCGTAAAAACAATGCTTTAGGGATACTGAATAATATACCCACCGTAAGATGTGTATTCTTTCATGAATATCCACGTGTTGAAATTTGGATAACCTTGAGTTACGTAAACAACATCGGTGCCTGGCTCCAAGATTCACAGGTCGGTGTAGAATGATATTTTCTACACCAGTGAGAAGTGATCATATTTCTTTTTATTTAGCGAGCAGAATGAGTCTGGTGCAAGATCTTCCAAACACCGAAGACAGTATATAATCTGTAGCGGTACAGAGCAGTAATTTGGTGACCTGGGTTTTAGCGCAACTCATCTTCGAAATCCCGGTCCTGTGACGCTTGACTTACCAAAAAAGCACAACGAATAAGCTTATGGAGAGTATAAAAACGTCAAAAATTATCAATGAATCCCCGAATAGGGGCTTCGTTTATCGTCGCTAGGTAAGCGCATTGTCCCGTCCACCTTAACTCTTTTGTTTAAAATAAGGCTTACAAATAAATCATAGCCGTACGGCAGTGAAGCATCGGTATTGAACACTGATGTCATGCTGTCGATGAGATGAGATGAGATGAGCTCGTCGCCATTTTGCCGACAGCTTGGTCCTGCTAGCCACAAAGTGGTTTGTCCACTCCATCTGTCCTACGTTTGTATGCTGAGACGCCTGAGACTGTTAAAAAACGTTAATGGTGCTATCTTTTACGACGAAGCGACATTAAATTTCAGTGTTGTAAGTCATAAACGACTTTATCCCTCTTGAATTTCTGACGCAACATTGCCTCTGGTGAAATATCAGTAAAATATCATTGTGGTGGCAGCAGAAACAGATTCGATTTACCTGCTCTGGGTTGTGACCAAGTAATGAAAAACTGCGACTGGTGGTGCAGATGAACCATATCATCGTGTGAGTTGGGGTGGAAGCCAGTGGAAGTCTTTGGAATAGCCTTCCTGTGTTTGTAAAATTTGGGCCCTAATAAAACCGTTTGTAAAAAACCTTCAATCATTGGAACAGATTGTTGTCATATCTCCATAGTTGAAGATGCTAATGTACCTCATTTTATTCGTAAACATCCAGTTGGGAGAAGTTTACGTGAAAATCCGCGTACTACAAGAAGATGCTGAAGAATATCGCGAGAAAAACAACAAGTTGCGTACCCACCTTGCTCTTGTGCAACATGAGCGCTCAATGACGGAATCACTGCTCCTTGAACGACAGCGGGAATGTGACACTATGCGTCATGAACTATACTTGGCTGAGCGAGAGATTGGCCGTACTCGACAGGATTTAGGCCAATTGAAAACCAAAAGGAAGGAAATCGGTGCACGTATTGGAAGTCTGGAAGTACGTTGTGGTTGACACTATCTTTGGATTTTTTGCTGTCAAGCCATGAAAATAGGGATCATTTCACCCTGCGGCTGCTATTCGACCGCAGGAGACTGCTGCTTGCTTTTTGGTCATGCAGTCGAATTTCCGCATGATGAACTTAGTCATACTCTTGCCCAAACGACCGTTGTTGAAGGCCCATTTAGTTGTACAGTGACCTTTACCGACTTACCAAAATGTGGTGCTACCAAAATGCACTACCCGAAAAGCATTTTAAGTGTTTTGGTGTTCAAAACCGTCTCTTATCATTTTCACTTGGGGTTTCTGTGGTACTGTTGCTTAGGAGATTCCAAGATTCATCAAGAGATTTTCTTTACACACACAGAACGAAATTTTTGTGAAATCAAATGAGCTCAGTTCGATCAAGACAGTGATGGACTACGACCAGAACCTAATTGATGTCTACTTGGATGCATGTGAAGAGGACATTGGCTTGCGTGAACGGCTTACTACCCTGCAACATGTGGATGAATCAAGGCTTGCGGTCAGTTTAATTTAAAATATTTTCACACAGTTTTGTGAAGGGCTGGTTTTGTTTTCCTCCGGGCTATACATACTGGTTTAAGGAAAATTTGACGCTGCACCGGATCATGGTTTTCTTGGGGAGGAATAGCTATCGAAGCTTTAGAACATCTTGTCTGAGCCATTGTTTTATGTAGAATGACTGCATAAATCACGCACACGTTTTTTCTCATAGCAAAAGCGACATCTAAACCAGTTTAAAAACTATACATTCAAGAACTGCGTAGAAAACTGCTCATTTCCAAACCGATTCCTGCCTTGGGCCCACTTAGGAACGACTCTTTTCCGGTAGTGGCCGAAAATCAATTATCTGTGCTACAACCCTTGAAAATTCATGACGTCTTCTATCCACATGCCTCTGTCACTGTTTTCTGAAAAAAATACCCATTATCACTCGATTTACTGATTTAGGTAGAGAAATTTTGGTGGGGTATACTTTACGCCACTCCATTATAAACACCTCGATGCGGAATATCGTAATAGCCCTGTATTTAAGCATGAGTCCCATAAGTTCGATCCGAATGCTTTTACGAACGTAGAAGCACCGCCGAATTTCGGTTTTGAGAATTTTCCGAGAAAATTCAGAAGATGACCCGTGTTGGTTACTTCCTGCTAGTAACGATGATGATATCAACGGTCGGTGGTGTAGAGGCTGGACCCATACAAATAGAACTCTGGGGTAACCTGAAAACATCCATACTCCTTTTTAAAGGTGTATTTGTATGATAATATATGTAATATATATATGTATATATTCCAACAACTAATTTGATGCACTGACAATAGTTTGTTTACGTGTCTCTTTATGAATAACGTTACACCTTGTGTAGTGAGAAAACCAAGCCCAACCCCGTTACTGGTGATGTAGACTTCATATAGAGAAAGCAAACAAAGTTGATCTATTCTGGGACAGAATTACCAACCAAGTCAAGGCAGTATCTTGTAATCTTTCACCTTACTTGCTGCTTGAGTCTCCAGAGGAAGAAGAGAATATCGATAAACGCCTTAAAGTAACCTGTTGCCAGCGCTTGTCTGAAAACAAGTTGCATTGCTGAGTACAGGTGTATTCATGCCACTCATTTCGTTCAAAATGCGGGACTACACCAAGTACTGCATTGGAGCTGTCATGTAATGATCTAACGAGAAATACTCTTTGTTCTCACCATTATAACTCGAACGGGGCTGTAACCTGGATGTTCTAAGGCAGTGAACCAGGACTTGGTGATGCTACAACCATGACCTATGAATTCTGGAACCACGCAATGCATCCCGATAATCAGTATAGCAAAGGAATGCGTGTGCAGTAGAATCTAATAATAAAAAATCCAAATCCGAGTAGGCCAATTGGTAACATAAGCATTGAACAGCATCTTTTCCTAATGAAGATGTAAAGGTCCACTGATCGGTGCCTCCGAGGCATAAAGAAAATCATGCCCGAGGTGGTGTAACCATTGGCAGGAAATGGAAAGATTTATTTTCACCCTTCACAGTCTTCTAAGGATTGTCTTCATTCGAAACATTGGTGGAAATGACGAAGTGTAATATACTGTTATTTGGCATGCAGTTGATTGACGTAACGTATCCAAAGTAATTCGCAAAATTTAGCCTTATATAATATGCATCAACGGGTTGCACAACAGATTTATTTAGCATCCCTGCTGACCTCCAGAAACCTGTTTACACAAACGCTGGGGGTCAGATAAACGTGTCGTTGACTGATCCTTCTATCCCAAAATTACGTTTCGTAGGGATTATTGCGTATGAAGGCAGACGCGTGCTTATCCCTTGACGGCTGCTGATGTGATACTATGTTATCCATGGCCGCAAAAAGCTGTGTATATTTTGTTTAATTCTTCTGACGCCTCTCCATTTTCTAAGCTTCCGTTTCAAGCCATCAATAAAGATGTCAACTTGACGGTTAGGTAGAACATGGTAGGATAGTCTTCATTAAGGTTGAATTCGTTGACTGTAAATTGAGCTCTGTCATCGGGCTTCAATACCTCTGTGACTCCAAACCGTACGAGCAATTCACTAAATTTGGATATTGTTGCTGCATTTCGGTTGACCATAAGCAACTCTGATCACTCTGAGAAAGAGTTGACAAAAATGAGGAAACTGTACCGTTGTAACAGATAACGGAAGCCCAAATGCACTTATTCCCACGGTTTTACATGCTGCGGTCAAGTGGGAATGTGAGAAATTTCCGTGCACTGGCCTACCGTGTCTGCAGTCCGAGCACCAGTACGGGCGTAATTACGGACAATAGCTTTCATTATATTGCTTGGAGGATGTACTTGGTGAAATTGTTTAGCTATTTGGTACTGAAGTGCACGTGGTACAACAAGATTGTCTCCTTACGATGTTAAATTCTCTGTGAATTAAAAACACTTGACACTCACGTCTTACCGGTCATCGATTTGTGGATACCCGATAACTGCACACGGCAAAGGATCGCGCCTAGATTCCATGGCAGTTGCTCAGGCAGAGGCAGAAAGATACCTAGAGATTCAGAAAAAAACGTTGGATTTCACTGTCCGTGGAAACTGATGCAACCATTGTCTTCACCTTATCAATTTTTGTGGAGATAACATACGGGCTTGATCTCTTTAGGTCACTTCCTACTTCTTTGTTTCTGAAACAACCTGATTTCAGATAATTACGATGGAAACCGATGGCAAATTTGATGGGGCCTCGGTCTGACCAGCTTTAGTGGAGTCACTTGGAATCTGATGTGATGCAACCACACCAATTCCATATTTTAAACTGCCGATGTCCACTACAATCGGAACTGAATACTGTAATGGGCTGGCGTCAAATCGGACGTAAGTACCTATTTACTGTGGAAAAAAATTGTTGGGACCGTATTCGTAAGCGAAGTAACCGAATATCACGTCGGCCAGCGGATTCGTAACGAACCAACTATTGACCGCAGGTAAACAAGAAACCCGCACGTGATTTGCAATCCGCAGCTTAATGTGCGACCGGCTCCACTTGGTGTCTCTCGATAGCAAGGTACTGAACACGGCGTGTAGATGGGAATATACATACTGTGTTCATTCACTAAGCCTAAGGTGGATCGTAAGTTTGAGCGACTGGTGAGGGCCGGTATGGTCGTTATAGAATTAAACTTCTCCGGATCAGCTCATCATCCTTCTATGTCAGTGATGTATCTTACATAGAATACACATCATACAGAGGCATTCCGAACCCACTTGTTTATCTGAAGGAATGCTTTTTTGGGATGCCCTAAACGAGCATCCAGTGTAGTGCTCAAACTGCTCAAACTGCAGGTCATCCTGGTAGCATGAATAGAGAAAAAACTGTCGACCGCAGTTTCAGGGGAGACCATCAGTTAAACATAAACACAATTCAGTAATAAATACAAATGGTTGATATAAACAACAACAAACCATGCATTTTTCGATAGAAGTATTCAAATCCCTTTGAGATGCCATAACTGCGACATCCTGGCTTCAAACATTATTGACTTATCATGTTGGAAAAGATCAAGGCCCAAAGGTTTCGACGGAAATTCAACGAATTCTTACTTATCTTGCACAGTAGTGAGAGGATCTTGGTAATGCAATTTATTAATTAATACGAAATATAGGGAATCAATAGGCAGTATCCGTTTTAATTATATTGTCGATCCGTATCTAGTTTATGGAAAGAATTTCATAGCACTATTAGGCCCTGAGGATGGGCCATTAATTAGACGGAGATTACGACAACAGTACAGTATTCCGAATCTAAGTAGTTAGGATCTTGCTTGGTTCGTTTTGTTCAACAAAAATGGATAGGATAGGATATATCCATACCCGCAGAAAGTGGTTAGCCCTACTGAGGACCGCAAAAATTTTCTAAAATGTCATTTGAGTGACAGATCATTCATGGATGGCGACATATCCGTTTACGTTGATTGTTACATATGTGAATTAGTTCCGCAGGGTCTGGAAAGCGCTTCGGGAAACCCATGACGATTTAGGATGTAACTGCTTGTTTCAGAATCACCCGAGATGAATGAATTGTTAAACAAGCTGGCTATATTGGCTAAATTTTGTCCCTTTTTCCGGATCTGCATCTCAAACAAGATGTGGTTGCGTGTCATACCTTGCTTCGATCTGCTCCAGTCGACGTTCACGAGTCGCCAGTTCTGCACGAGCTTCTGCCAATCTAGCTCCGGTTTGCCGCAGCTTCATACCGATCTTAGTCTTCTGCGCGTTAAGTTCGAGGTCCATTTCACGTTCCAAGGATTCCAACTGCAGTTGTTTGGCTTCCTCACTCATAACTTTGTTTCGTAAAAGATTCAAACGAGCTTCCATCCGCTTGACCTGGAAAGTGAAATCATGCAGCATACTGTTGCTTACTGACGCATCCGAGACTTGAAACAATTTTGACCATCAGTCTATTAGACCTATGCATATGAACCAGAATACTAGCATTTAAGACTATGAGCACAAGAAAGGGTGTGTCATGACATATTGATCAGCCTCGCACGCCGGCACACTACAAGTATTCGTGTTCTCGTTCACTGTAAGAATAAAGAGGTCTAAAAACCGATCGAGTGTGGCCTGGTAGCTCAGTTGGTTAGGGCGTCGTGCTAATAACGCGAATGTCGTGGGTTCGATCCCCATCCGGGCCAGTTAACCTTTTCTCGTTTGTGTGCATATGAAGAAAAATGCTTTGATTCACGCTTGAACGAATAGTTGGGTCGAATTTACTCAGTGTACGATCGCAACCGCTTTTTATCAAATTTAGCATACACTGTTTTCATGGCCCATTCGTATCAATAAGAAGCAACTTTGTTTCCAAAATGTTTTCAAGCCTAAACTTCGGTTTAGAGCACTAATTTTTGTGCTTACAAGACGGCCACTTTCAATGAAATACATTTCATCTATACTGTATACTCAGACTTCCGGGTTTTCGGTTGTGACGGGTATTTCCACTAAAGAATGTGCCCCGCACCAAAAGTTGTTTTGGTTAGGCCATGTATTGCGTACGCCAAATAATCTTTTGTCGAATAGGGTGATGTTTTCCATGCCCGATTCAAAGTGGCGGAGGCAGAGATGGCCAATCGTTGACTTGGCAAAGGGGTATGAAGGAGATCACGAGACGTGTGAGTTCTGTCGATGCTACTCGCCTTGCAGGATAGTGACAACATAACATACTACTCATAAGGGGGTCGAAAACTCCGACACCTCACGACTGGTTTTGCCCTCATTAGTTTCATCAGATAGGTCTAGTCCATGATTTTCCATGAACATCATGTTCTAATTGAACCCAAATAGATTTCTAAAAAAACGCTGGCATGACGAGCCTCAAGATGAACGAAGCCCGTCGTTGGCTTTGGGAGATTTTTCAGAAGAAATTATTGAGGAAATTATGCCCAAACGTGCTTTCAGAAATGGAAGTTTGGTACCAGATTGCGTTGAAGAATGCTATTCACAAAACTACTGATTGGAACATGCTTCACTCCTAATCAGGCAGGCGTAGTTTCCGACTTTACATTTGTCTCATTTCCTACAAGAGCCCCGCGGAAGTCAAAAGATAAAGATGATGTACTGAATTAAATGTTGTGGTACGTAAGATGAGTCACTTCGAAATCTCGGATACATTCCGAAGACAAAAATAAGCAGCCTAAATGGAGTGCATATTTGGTATATAATTAAACGCTGGGAAAGGGTTGGGTATTCGTCTGAGTATCCAACTTAAAACCAACTTAAATTGCAGAATGGACTATCGCTTTTTTTTATTTTTGGTCATGATAAAGTATTCTTGAACCAACCGGCAAACATACTTTTCCCAGGGCAGTTTCAAGTTTATATGAAAATTTTGGTAAACTGATTCGACAGTTATAAACGTCTTGGCCTTGTCATTTATCGTCAGAGTCTTTAGATTTTTTTGCATTAAAACCAATGACTTCAAAATCGGTTTATCATCTCACTTTGACGTGTGATATATTATGGTAGCATGTTCGCGACTGGATGAGTTTGCTCATTTGTAGGGGATTTCAGAGTGGACCGGCAGTCTGAAAGTGGTCAGTGACGCATGTGTATCAGGAAAAATAACAAAGTTTGGGCATGTACAATAACCAAAAACGGTGTAAAGTATGTCGCTGCCATACTATCAGAAAAGACCTGTTTATTTGGGAGTTATGGAAAGAAAAAGTTAGCCCAGGTAGTACTGATTGACTCATTTGCTGAAACTCTTTCTAAGTTTGTTAAGAAGATAAAGTTTGTGATTGAACGTGTGACTTACTGAGACAGAGGATAGAGAACATTAAAAGTTATAGTGAAATTCTCTTACTGCTGAATTAATTCAACCAGAAAACCTGAATCCCAGTGATGTTTGACGTCATGTCCTTATCCATTTCATTAGATTGCTTCATCTTACAATTTTGCCCTGATAGTTATCGATCCACTCTGAAGCTAGTGGTGTTTTCATTGGATGAATATCAGTTGAAAAGATAAAAAGCAGAAATAATATTTTTGTCCTGTATGGGTGTCGATCAGTTGCGCTGTGTTGCACTTCTATCATATACTTACAGCTTCTAAATAGTGAAGCGGGACGCCTCAGCGAGAAACGAAGGGATGTGCGTCGTAAGCTGGATACAGTTGTGTCGAAGAACGGGGAATTGCGTTTGCGAGTGGGAGCGGCAGCAGACAAGTGTCGACAAGAGAACCAAGCCAGAAGAGATTTATTGCACGTTTGGGAAACATGCATATCACAGTTAATGAAGCGGGATGAAGACTATACTCTCTTAGGACAGGTAAGACGTTGGCGGACCTTGACTCACCTCTCGCGGATGGACTATAAGATAAAGGTCTCAGACAAACTTCTCAGCCAAAATTAGGCCAAAATGTTTAAACCATCGTCTTATCATTTAGATGTAGTAATGAAAGGGCTACTGTGTATCTCTGCTTCTCGCTAAACAATGTCTGATCACCTATTGCTGGTACGTTGTATTTGCCATTTGTGCCCAGTGGTTACCATTAATAAAGATGTGATCGGTTCACGACACACTGTCATAAGGCTTTTACCTTTAGTGGGCTCATTAGGTAGATATAGACTGCTGATCACGTCTGCTGCAGGCTGTTGGCCTCAGAACTGGGGGATCCATCAGCCAGTGCTGTGATTTTTTTTCTCTGATTAGTAACCTAATCCTTCATGATTGCGATTTGTAGGCCATGATGAGATTGTGAAGTTTCGAGCTGGATTTTTCCCTCAAGTGAACTTCTTTGCCAGGAAGCTAGGAAATATTATACAACGGTTTTATACACAGTATAAATAGTCTGGTAAGAGAGGCGAATCCTACAAGTTGAATAGGTTTGCCTTCTGAAAATCCATCTTTCGAGTAACCAGTCACGTGATGTCTACTGAGTGATCACTGTGTAGTGATACTATCCCGTCCAGTTAATTACATTGCTTTTCATTTTGTACGAAGTGCATAATTTCAGATCCTTTTGGAAATTCGTGAGATTCATACTGCTGATCCATATCGATGAAGATGGAACACGTGTGCAACGCTTCTAGACTTTTTGTTTGCGATATTCAACCTGTGACAAATCTTCGTGTTAGTAAACATTTTTGATTAATCAGCAACCGGCTTGGATAAGGACCTAATCAAAACACGGTTAACGCTTAATTCCCCACCCGAGAGCTTTCGTTTACCCCAAAAGGATCATTCTTTCTTTGGACCTTTTATGTTGAATCCAAACGTGAGCTTCATTTGAATAAAGTAAAAAACAAATCTTCACTGCTGCTCTTTCGAAAAGGTTTCAAAATCGTTACGTCCTGTCCACGATGACTTGAGAATTGAAATTATTTAAGTACGGTTCCGCCTGGGTGAAATTTCTTCGTGCATGCCGAACCAAGACATGATCAATACACAGTTGATTTTTGTACCTGCCGGTGTACAGCTACCCTGCAAGTTGTAATAGGCAAGAGGTTTCTACTGACATAGTCTCATAAGTGTCCATTCAGTCCCTTTGGAAGCATTGCCAAAAGATGGCGTTAGCCGCATTTTTCTACAATACTTGTTTGTTGTCGCGTAGGTTATAACGCCAACAGTCAAGGCACTAGTTAAAATTAGATCGGCAGGATTAGTTGTCGAATTTGTGTTGGCTGAACGAGATTTCCGTACTTGAATCAACATATGCTGAAACGGAAGGTAATTTTTCGCTAAAGGTTAGTTTGTGGAGGACAAAGTTCGATCAAATGGACATAACATACCATATAACCCATTAGAACATACCGAACGGTCACAAGTCTACGACACCGGCAGTGAAGCATCGGTGTTGAACACCGATGTCATACTGTCGACGATGATGATGATGAATCTAGGAATAGATTTGAGATTGGGGCTATGGTTGCGCAGCGATTGGAACATTAGTATCCTCAAGACCGTACAAGTGTTAATGTGCCTCGCACTACGCTTTTTAGGTTCAGTTGTGTGTTTGTTCAGGATGGCACTACCATCTTTTGGGGTAAATGAAAATCTGGATCGCAACTTTTCAGTCTTGTGTGAGATAAACTGGCCAATAGAGTGTGTCCCAGATTCGGTAGTGAAGGTGGACATGACTAGCACTCCTTATTTATGGCTTTGGCCGCCAATCATTGATCAGCAGCAGTCTGATACAGGACTGCAGTCGACTCTTTCTGTTGCGGATGCTTGTTTCATTATTCGATAAAGTGAAATGCCAATAAATCATCCTGCGATTGTCAGAAACTGAAATTTATTGCCACCCAGGATGACCATGTTTCTCGGGCTCCAGTGATAAGTAGTACCTTCAGTTCTAAGGGTAAGTTTTTACGCTGTAACCCCGTAGGTGATGCTTCGTCATTTTCCAACAGCAACACTAACGCGTCCCGACTAACTTGAGCAGTAAGACTGCAATCCTGCATACCGTATAAACACCACACAGCCTGCCTGGCAGTAACATTGACCCCATACTCAAGAAGCCCTGATGACGAGAATCTCCGGGAGCCAAAACCAGTAGAAATGCATTTCTTCGATGGTGTTAACTTTGGTGACATCATCGTAAAATGCCATAAAGTCAGCTAAATATGCTATAACTGCACTGATGTTTTATTCTGTGGTCCACAAGACAGAAATGAAAGTTGTAATATTGCAAACTAGGGCTCTCCATTACTCGAAAATGCCAAATCTTATCGAGAGATTATCCATCAAACGCCGGCGAACCAACCGACCAAGAAACAACCACGCAAACAGTTGAAACTAAACAACTAAAAAACAAACAAGTAAAATAGCAAAAGCACACAAATCAAACATTCATCTGTTCAGTCATCTGATCACCTAGTCGAAAACCTATAATTTAGTCTGGCAATCACTTGT